CTATGTATGGAATCGTTTCATCCCCGTGTGCATGCTGAATGGTCCCAGAGTTGCTAGCCTGGCTGGCTGGCAGTGTTTTGAGTATGGTCCAGAGGCCTGGAGGAGGTGACCTATCAGCAGTAGGGGTAGATGCAAGAAAGGATGGAATAGGTGGGGTGTGTGAAGCCAAGGAACAGCAAGTCATGATAATGCTGTTTGGCAAGAATGAGCTTGGCCTGTGCTAGGAACAGCAAAAAGAGCAGAGCAGTTAGAGGGAGAATCAGGAAGAAGGGCAGGGACACGTTCCTGAGGGTTTTGTAGGCTCAGCCGTGGTGCTGAAATATAGACTAATGGCCATGAAGGCCATGGATGAGCTGCAGTAGAGAAGATCAATGGGTAGTTCTAAGACAGTTCCCCTGGTGGTTTCATTGTTTCCAATCAGGAAGTTTTCTCCTTTGCTAGTGAACCCAGAGAATGTGGAGCAAGGATCATGGGGAGGGAAGAGTGAAGTGGGGAAGGCCATCAGGAAGAGCGGCCTTGATGACCTCAAGTGGGTTGCTAGCACTGGGCGAAGGGTAGCAACAAGGCCGTGAGCGCAGGTCTGGACACATAAATTGACTGATGGACATGACAGGAGTGTGGGTCTCGGGCTTCTGTGAGGGCGAAGCTGGTGAGGAGTTGGGGGTTGTTCTTTTGGAATACAGACTGAGGAGACAGCTGGACGAGTACATGTGCAACTCAGGATAGGTAGGTATGAATTTGGGAGCACTGCCTGTGGACAGCATCAGAACCAGGCCTGGGTTCTTCCAGACCACAGCTGGGCAGTGCAGGCTCCATCCCATAGTACTGGGAATCCGGTTTGCAGAACTAGTGGATGTCTGTACCTACACATGTGTGCAGGAGTGACAGGCTTCTGACACACACGCGTTTAAGTCTTCAGGCTAGTGCTGGTGGGCAATGCTGATGGAAGGACTGCAAACAGCCACCACTTTCCCACCATCTGGTTTCTCTCACCAGTATGACATGATAATGGAGGGGCTGCAAAAAGCCAACATTTTCAAGCCTGCCACCCAAGATTCTCCTATTGGTACCCATCTCTGGAGCTCAGGTCAGCAAGCTTTCTCCTCTCCCAGAGAGACCAGGACAGGAGATAGTGGAAGGAGAGGAATTGCACTCTACCCTCCCCCATCTGTGGCCCAGGGGCGTCCCCTCTTTCATAGCCATCTGCCTCAGGAGCCCACTCTGACCCATCCTGTCTTCCTTGTGAAAGCTTCTCCCAAGGCTGACAGCTCCTCCCAAGCAAGGCTTCACCCAGGGCAGAGCCTTGTCCCTCAAGCCCGTCCAGGGCTATGCTGAGTGCACAGCTAGTGTGTATATCTTTCCATATCCACATTCAGTCACACCAGCTTGTGGCTTGAAATCAGCAACCTGGGAGTACTTACACTACAAAAAATGGCAAATGCTACAAACCAAGGCTTTGATTGTGCTTATGTGAAAACTGTACTTGGACCAAGAGGCAGTCATCAGAACAGAGCAAGGGGACACTACATGGTTCAAAAATCAGGAAGTGGGTCCACCAGTGATGTATTCTGTCTCCATACCTTTTCAATCTGTATGCAGAACAGATCATCTGAGATGCTGGGCTGTACGAGGAGGAATGTGGCAACAGGATTGGTGGAAGAGTCATCAACAACCTGTGTTATGCAGATGACAACCCTACTCTGTGAAACTGAGGAGAACCTGAAATGCTTGCTGCAGAAGGTCAAGGACTGCAGCCTTCAATATGGATTGAAGCTCAACATCAAGAAAAGAAGGAAGGAGAGATTGTGGGATTGTTAGACCTAATATTCCGTGAGGTCTGGGGAGAAGGGTCGCTTTACCAACCCATTCTGGGTATGGAACTCTGCTCTTGAGGCTCCTGTGAGGGGAAGATTGAATCAGTGACTGGGACAGGTCCTGGGGCACTGAGATGAGACCACAGGAAGAGCCATGCTGTAAGGATGAGGAGAGGGCCCAGAGCTTCCCCAGGATGATTGAAGCTCAACATCAAGAAAACAAAGATTCTCACCACTGGGCCAATTGGCAGCATCAGTATGCATGGTGAAGAGATTGAGATAGTTAACAGTTTTAGTTTGCTTGCCTCCAAAATCAGCACTCTTGGTAACAGCAGCCAGGAAATCAAGAGACAAATTGCATTGGTAAAGTCAGCTCTCAGGGACCTCTCCAGAGTACTGAAAAGCAATGATGTCAGGCTGGAGACTAAGGTGTGCCTGATCTGAACTATAGTCTTCACAATTGCGTGCTATGCTTTGAACTGGAGAAGAATGCTGAATATACTATGAACTGCTAGTAGGACAAACAGGTTTGCCCTGGAGAGGGTGAAGCCGGGCTGCTCCTTGGAGGCAAGGATTCTGAAGCTTCACCTGACATACTGTGGGCATGTTGCAAGGAGGGACCAGCCCTTGGAAAGGGACCTCATGTTTGGGAGAGTGGAAGGACAGTGCAGGAGAGGAAGACTCTTGATGAGATGGATTGATTTAGTGATTGGGGGGTAGTGGGCATAGGTGTGTTGGAGACAGTGAGTTTGACATAGGATAGAGCAGGGTTTCGGGCTCTTGTACATAGGGTCACTGTGAGTCGCAAGCGACTTGATGGGACATAACAACAACAACATGACTAGACAGTTCTGTGTGCCCCCTCTACCCACCTCAGATTTTTCCAAAGTAATTTCCCATCATTTCCCCCCATAGTTCCTATATCCCTATCCCTGGATATATAGCCAGGAACCAATCCCTAGGGCCTGCTCAGTCTGGGAAGGAGAGATTGTGGGATTGTTAGACCTAATATTCCGTGAGGTCTGGGGAGAAGGGTCGCTTTACCAACCCATTCTGGGTATGGAACTCTGCTCTTGAGGCTCCTGTGAGGGGAAGATTGAATCAGTGACTGGGACAGGTCCTGGGGCACTGAGATGAGACCACAGGAAGAGCCATGCTGTAAGGATGAGGAGAGGGCCCAGAGCTTCCCCAGGGATGTCAAGCCCACTCCATGCATGTCTTTTCCTGAGGCAGAGGGATGAAGATGTTCCCTGGGGCCTGAGAGACAACACTCTGTATTTGTGTGTGTGTGCACGCACACACACATACATGTGTAAATATGAGTGTTAACTCTGTGTGTGTCTGTGTTCTTGAATGTTTATGACTGCAAAAGTGTGCTGCAGGTCTGAGTAGGCATTTCTGGGGATAAGTGGTAACTGAATCTGTGTGTATCCATGAGTGCATTAATGTGTAAGTGGGTGTTTATGACTGTGCATCTGTGTTTGTGTGTGGTCGCTGAATGAGTGTGCATGAGTGTCACCACATGCATACATGAGCATACTTTTGTGTCTGTGAATGGTAACTGTGCAGGGGGGCTGTACACAGATGTGAGGAAGTGGGTTCACTTCCCCAGGAACTCTGGCTGCCCCCTCTTCCTGCGCAGGGAGGGGATGGGATTCCAGCTGCATATAAAGGGCCAGGAGCTGATGGCCTGTGCCCCTCTTGCTTCTCCTGGGCCATTTCACATCTGCCATTGCTGCCCATTACCTGCCTGCTGCCTCCCAGGCCCTGGCCCACAAGTGAAAGGGCCAGAAGTGTCAGTCGTTCAGGGGTCTCCTGCCCCAGACCTACCAAGGAACAGGTACTAGCCCCAGGGCTTGGCCTCCAAGGGAGGAAGGGGAGGAGGCAGTTGAGAGACTCTGAGTCTCTCAACTTGAGATGCAGAGGAGGAGCCCTGTTGGCCCTGCTGCAGAGCCCTTTTCTTGGCACTGGTGTGTGGCTGGAGGAGGGTGCTGGCCTGGGAAGTGCATTTGCTCAGGCACTATAACAGGGTCTCTAGGCGATGGCGAGTGTCACAGGTGCTTGTAATTCCATGCAGCTGAGTGTGTCCACGTATGACTGCACATGCGCGTGACTGTGTGCATCTATTTGCCTCACTGGGCATGGTCCATCCTGGACAGGTGCCTGTTCTCACCAGGCCCTCCAGGAATCTCCATCCCAGCTTAAGTTTGCAGAAAGAGGGTGGGTTGAGAGCCTAGGAAATGAGCAGTGGCAGCCAGAGGGGCTGAGGAACTAGAAGTTCTGGGCACCAGGAATGACAGCCAGACAGTCCCTGTGTAGTCAGGCCAACACTGCTGCAAGCTAAAGGAGCCAGAGAAGTCTGTGTGCTTGGAGGGGTAGGGGAATTTCAGCTCAGTGGGGCTACAGGGGCTTGGGTACCAGGGGGCAGAGGCGCAGAGGGGCTGGAGTCTGAAGGCTAGTCCTTGGGTGGGCACAGGGATGGGAACTTGCAGGCTGCAGGAACATGTCTTGGCTGTGGTGGTGCCTCCTGAGCGAGGTGAACCCGGCCCAAGAAGAGATGAGATGCAAGTGAGCAGATAGGCTGTGTGGAGTGCACCTTGGGCTGAGGCCTCGCAGTCTCCCCAGACTGATTGGGACTGGCCTCAATTTCCCTCACATCTCCTGGAAGATGCCTTTTGGACCTCTGTCAGCTTCTAGACTCTGGGGCTCTCAGTGACTAATAGGATCCCCATAATTGAGGGAAGGAAGGAGTTGCTTTCTTGGAGTCTGGGGAAGGATGAGGAGGGGCCTTATTTTTCTGGAGTGGGGCTCAGGAGCAGCCTGCTCTATGAAAATAAGGCTGTCTCTCTGTCCTCTGGTAAAGATGCTGCTTCCTGTATGCCAAGGTCAGGGTTATGATCCAGGGTGGAAGCGCCATGCCCCTGTCCTAGCAGAGGCAGCCATCATCATTCAGGGTTTGCCACCACCACACTGTATGTGGGTGGGCCTCACTGGGGGAGGGAGGAGACCTGGGCAAGCTGAGACCAAAAGGGAAAACTCACTGGGGTGCTGATTCCCAAGCCACCGCGGCCTGCCTCCTGTGAGTTCTGGGGCTTCCCCCCGGAGATGCAGTTCCAGGGTTCAACGGGCCTCCAGCCGTGCTGACCCCCCATCTGGCCCGACCTCAGGTCCCGCCCGCCTGCCCCTATGACCAACATGAGCTGGAGCTTCCTGACGCGGCTGCTGGAGGAGATCCACAACCATTCCACCTTCGTGGGCAAGGTGTGGCTCACCGTGCTGATCGTGTTTCGCATCGTGCTCACGGCGGTGGGCGGGGAGTCCATCTACTCGGATGAGCAGAGCAAGTTCACGTGTAACACACGGCAGCCGGGCTGCGACAACGTGTGCTACGACGCCTTCGCCCCGCTGTCGCACGTGCGTTTCTGGGTCTTCCAGATTGTAGTCATCTCCACGCCCTCTGTCATGTACCTGGGTTACGCCATCCACCGCCTGGCGCGGGCTTCCGAGGAGGAGCGACGCCGCGCGCTCCGTCGCCGCCACAACCGCTTGCCGGGCCCCCGCCGGCCGCCCCCGCTGCCCCACGCCGGCTGGCCCGAGCCCTCGGATCTGGGCGAGGAGGAGCCCATGCTGGCCCTGGGCGAGGAGGACGAGCTGGAGGCGGCTGAGGGCCTGGGCGAGGAGGAGGACGAGGAGGCGGCCATGGCCACCAAGGGGGCCAGTGTGGAAGGCAAGACTGCCGCGGGGACCCCGGGCCCGGCCGCCAAGCACGACGGGCGGCGGCGCATTCAGCGCGAGGGCCTGATGCGCGCGTACGTGGCGCAGCTGCTGGCGCGAGCCGTCTTCGAGGTGGCCTTCCTGGTGGGCCAGTACCTGCTGTACGGCTTCGAGGTGCAGCCCTTCTTCCAATGCAGCCGCCAGCCTTGTCCGCACATGGTCGACTGCTTCGTGTCGCGGCCCACGGAGAAGACGGTCTTCCTGCTGGTCATGTATGTGGTCAGCTGCCTGTGCCTGCTGCTCAACCTGTGCGAGATGGCGCACCTGGGGCTGGGCAGCGCGCAG